ATTTATAATCTTTTTAGTCATTTTAAATTATATCGGTTAGTTTTAAATATATTTAAGCCTTCACCAAATAATAATATGTAATCCTTTTTTTATTAATATTTATTTTAGTAATTTATAAAGTTAATTGTTTGAAAATAATTATAGAAAAAAAATAATAAAATTGATAAGAATCAAATATTGGTTAAATACAAAATATTAATATATTCTTTATTAATAATATATTTTGAATTCAATAAAAAGAAAATATAAATATTAATAATTTATTTTATATAATATTAAATATTGATTTGTATATAATTTTTTATTAAAAATATATATTATATTAATAGTGTTATAAATATATGTTATATAATAATTAATGAAATAAAAAAATGAAAAAGTGAATAATTAGTAAAAAGAGACTAAAAAATATATAATCTTATTAAAAATATATATAATTTATGTTGTATATATATAAAAAAATTTATTGATATATATATATATATATATATATATATATATATATATATATATTTATAGTAAATAATTATATACTATTTTTTATATATTTAAATTTATCTTTAATATTATTTTTTCTTTAATTTAAAATATTAATTATTTCATATATATTTTTTTTTAACTATATTTTATATAAAATTTATATATAATTTTTATATAATATATTAACTATTATATATATAAATAAGTATTATATATTATTATGTTTTTAATTATTTTTTTAATTATAATCTTTATTTTATTACTATAAATATTATATATATACATATATATTATTTGAAGAAATAATTATTATTTAATATATATAATAATATTAAAACTTAACTAAAAAAAGTTAGTCTTTTTAAAATACAATTATAATCTACTTTTTTAGTTAGATTAAACAGAATAAAAACCTAACAAGATATGTCAGAATTTAATATATTTAATTCAGAAGATTTTAAATATTAAAAATTTAATTAAACTGATCAATCTCAAGAATATAGAAGAGCAAATACAGATTAATTAGAATTTAATGATTCTGACGTTTATACATCTGATGTTATTTTTAATTTAAAAATTAACATTATATATTTCTATAAAAAAAAATAAAAAAATAAAAAAAAGGAAGATGATTGTGATTTTTCAGATGATAATAATAGATATTATTTTGATGAAGACGATCATCAACATAACTAGACATAATTTTAGAAAGAACAACTTTAATTATAAATAAATAAAAGTAATTTAGAAAAAATACAAAAAGAAGCAAAAGATGTAGAATATAAAATTCAAAATTCAATTAAATAAAAAGAAATTGGATTTAGAAATATATTTAAATTATTGGTAATTAATATTAATAAAAAAAAAAAAAAAAAAAAAAAAAGGTTTCTAAAAAAAAAAAAAGATTCGATTATGATGGATATTCTTTAGATTTAACATGTATATATATATATATAAATATATATATATATATATATATATATATATATATATATATATATATATATATATATATATATATTTATATATATATGTTTATATTTATTTATTATACTTATAAATAGATATTACTGAAAGAATTATTGCAATGGGTTTTCCAGCTGAAAACTATGAAAAAATGTACAGAAATTCAATGTCTGATGTATAAAAGTAAATTTTTTTTTTTTTATAATTTTTAAAATAAATAGATTTTTTAATAATCGACACAAAGCACATTATAAAATATATAATTTATGTAGTGAAAGAAAATATGATATATAAGCTTTCGGTGGAATGGTAGCATAATATCCATTTGATGATCATTAAGCTCCTAGTTTATAATTAATATACAGATTTTGTAAAGATTTAGATTAGTGGCTTAATGCTAATAGTAATAATGTGGCTGGAATTCATTGCAAAGCTGGTAAAGGAAGAACAGGAGTAATGATTTGTTGTTATTTAATGTATAGTAAACAACATGGAACTGCTATTGATGCTTTAAGGTATTATGGAATGATGAGAACATAAAATAAAAAAGTATATTATTATATTTTAATTAAATAATTTATAATTATATTAGGGAGTAACTATACCAAGCTAAATAAGATATGTGCTTTATTTTGAAAAAATATTACTCTCTAAGTGGAAATTAGATTAAATACCAGATATTGAAATTAGATTAACAAAAATTAAACTTTTAACTGTTCCTAATTTCGGTATTTTAGGAGGGTGCTGTAAATATTTAAATATAAAAAAAAAAAAATTATTTAAAAGCATATAAATAAAAATAAATATATATATATGTAAATATATATGTATTTAAATTTATATTTTTATATATAATTTTTTTACTTTTTTTATAATAAATTAATTAATATTAGAACCTTTTTTTACAATTACATGCAAATTGAAAAATGTTAAGTATTTTTCAAAAGTATTAAATTTATTTTTAATTTTTGCTTAATTTTTCAATATTTTTTTTAGGATTTTATTAAAATTTAAAATTATAAAAATGAGGCTTATATAGAATTTATAATAGATGAAATAAAGGTAAAAGGAGATGTTTAAATATAATTTTTTCATAAAGCTTTATTAAAAAAGTAAAAATAAATATTTATATAAAAATATAAATATTTTATATATTTATATACATATATATATAATTAAAATAATTATAATTATTTAATTAAATATATAATAGAAAATAAAAAATGTTTTAATTCTGGTTTAATACTGCCTTTTTTGAATAAAACGGTGTTATAGTTATTGATAAACATATGTTAGATACCGCATGCAAAGCAATTAATTATATATTTAAATAATATTTAATATTTATATAGGATCGAAGACATACTAAATTTAATAAAGAATTTCATGTTGAAATTCACGCAATATATACAAGTTAAAAAGACTCTATTATTTATTATAAAGATGTGGATTAAAATTAATGAAAATAAATAATTTAAAAAAAAAGAATTTTTTTTTATTTTTTTTTATATAATCTATAATTATATATATATATATTTTTTTTTTTTTATTTTATCTAAAAATAAAAAAAATATACATATTATAATACAAATTTATATACATATTTTTATAATAATTTATATATAATATTACATATTTTTATAAATATAAAAATATTTATTTAATTTAATTTTTTCTATTAATATATATTTACATTATTATTATTATTATTATTTTTATTTTATATAAAAATAATAAAATTATAAAAATGTATATAAATAAAAGAAGAATTATTCAATAAGAAATAAAAAATATTCCTAATATATAATTAAATTCTCTCAATTTATAAAAATTAAGCTTATAAAAAAAAGAAAGTGAGAAGGATTATTCAGATTCAAGCAGTGACTCTAGTTCAGAACATAATATATGGGATAATTCCGAATGTAATTATAGAGGAATAGATATAGAGAACGATAATCTTAGTATCTTTACTTTATATAAAACTAGATATTATTATTTTGATAAACATTAGTATAAATAATAATCATTTAAGGACAATTTAAATAAAAATGTAAGTAAACTTTTAAAAGTTCTTTCTAAAAACAAAGTATAGAGTTCATAGTTTTATAGCAATAATTAGTAGTTTCAACCTTTAAAAAACCATTTTTTATATAATAGATTTGCAAATTATTATAAATAATATAAAGACGTATAAAATAAGATTGGAAGATTAAGATAGAAAAAAAGAATTGAATTTCATATTGAATAAACTGAATAATTAAGTAGTTTATAAGAAAAAACTCCTCTAAAAATATAAAGTGAAACTGCTTTAAATATAGATAAATTTAATTTTGAATTCAATTTTCCTTCAGAACCTTAGATTAATGAAATCTCAAATAAAAAGATAATTAAATACACTATAAAGGACTTTAATTCTTATGATAATAGTAAAAAAATGATAATTTTTCGCCTTTGGTATAATTATAATCGAATTCTGGATTAGACTAGGAAAATAATTATTTCATATATAATTTTAATAGTAGAAAAGAAGAAAAAAAGATTAACAAAAAACTACAAAATAATGCTTAAGTTAAGATTAGTAATAAAAAATAGAATTTAAAAATAAAATTAATATAGTATTACCATAAATTAAAAAATAAAGTGGCTAATAATAATAAAAAAAGAAGATTTCAATATAAAAAAAAAGATTATAAATAAAAATATAATAATAATAAAATGACAGTAAGTAGTTTAGTAAATAATTTTTAATGTGGGTTAAATTTTTAGAAAGAAAAAAAACAAATAAAATAAAATTTAATAAGATCTTTTAAGGAAATTCTAATAACTTGATATAAATTTATTATTAATTATATATTATAAAAAAAAATATATTGCTTTTATTAAAGGCAAAATAAAAAAAAAACTAATGTATAAATAAAATATATAATTATCTATAACATTTTATATATATATATAATATAATATATATATATATATATATATATATATTATTATTATATTATATAAAAGATTTTATTTTTCATACAAATTTCTATTTTTCATTTTTATTATTAAAATTATGAATTTTTAAAAATATAATATGTTATCTATATCTAACATAAATTACTATAACTAATATTAAAATATAACTATTATATTATATATAATTTTTTAAGAATTCATAATTTCTTAAATTACTATAATTTTAAG